AGTCCCATCACCACAGAGTGCAGCCCTCACTGCCATGGAGAACTTAAACATAACCTCTGATCAAACACAAATCAAACAATAACATGCTCTGACCTGGAGCCTGTTCCTAGAAAGATGCACATAAAAATAAAATTGCACTAATCCCTGACAGTCTGAATGACTATGTATTCCCAAAGCTACTCCCTTTTGAGAGAGTTCAGGAAAGGACCTTCCAAGCTACTAGTCCTTGGCTAACCATGGGGCAAAAAACAAACAAAAAAACCCCCAAAACCCCCCATAAACTCCCTAAACTCTGAGAGTAGCCTCCAAGCCACATTACTTTTGATAAATAAGTGGCTTATGCCAACCCAAGGGTAATCCCTAGCGAGTCAGGCCAAGAGATAAAAACAAGGGAAAGAAATCTGGGCAGGGACATCAGAGGCTATATACTTGGAAGGAATTAGAATGTGCAGAATTAGTTCAACTAAGTCATTAAACAAATAAGCAAGTGACCCAGAAAACAACAATAAGAACAGCTCCCAGAGTATTATCAGTATCCAGATTTGATAAAATATACCTAAAATCTTCAGCTTCCAGTAAAAAATTTTCAGATAATGCAAAGAAACAGGAAAGTGTAACTCATACACAGGAAAAAGTAGCAGGTGATAAAAACTGCCTTTGAAGGGGACTCTATAACAGGGTGGTGACTTAGCAGATAAGACTTCAAAGCAGCTATTATAAATATATTCAAGACTAAAAGAAATCATGCTTAAAGGATTAAAGAAAGGTATAATTGTGATTCCTCATTAAATAGAGAATATCAATAGAGATGAAAAATTACTTAAAAGAAGCAAGTAGAATTTTGGAGTTGAAGAGTGAAAAACTAAAGTAAAAATTTGAGCTGGCAGAGGAAAGAATCAGCAAACTGAAAATAGATTAGTAGAAATTAGACAGTCTGAAGAACAAACAAAAAAATAATAAAAATCCCCGAAAACTTAAGAAAATGTGAGACATTATTAAACACACACAAAATATGTGCCATGCATATACCAGAGGGAGAGGTAAGAGGGAAAAGGACAGAAAAAAATATCAAAAAAAAATATGGTTGAAAACTCCCTAAATGTGAAGAAAAAATATTAATCTGCACATCCAAGAAACTCAACAAACTCTAAGTCGGATAAATGGAAAAAGACAAAGAGACACATTATTGTCAAAATGATGAAAGACAAAGGCAAATCTTAAAAGCAGCAAGAGAAAAACATCATAAGCAAGGGAAGTTCAATAACATGAGTAGTTAACTTCTCATTAGAAACAATGGAGGGAAGAAAGCATTGAAAAGTCATAATTAAAGTGCTGGAAGTAAAATAAAAACTGTCAAAAATCTTATATATAGCAAAACTATCTTTCAAAAGTGGAGGTGAAATAAAGTCTTTACTAGACAAACAAAATTTGAGAGTATGGAATACTAGAACACTTGCCTTATAAGAAATAACACAGGAAGTTCTTCAAGATGAAAATAAGTAACACTAGACAGTAATTCAAATCTGCATAAATATCAAAGAGTACTGGCAAGAGTTATTATGCAGATAATTATAAAAGACAGCATAATCATGTATTTCTTTTCCTTTTTTCTTTTGATTGATTTAATTGTTAATTGCATAAAACAATATAACAAAGAGGTTGTTTTATATGCATAAATATATTTTTGGGCCTATGATATTTAGAAATATTATTTGGCAATAACAGTTCAAAGGAAGAAAGTGAGTAAGGAAATGATACAAAATGGTAACTCAAATGTCCACAAAGAAATGAATAGAACAAGAAGGTAAAAATGAAGTTTAAAATTACAAACTCTACAGATATATACTTGGTGTCTTTTCTTCTCTCAGTTTCTTTAAAAGATATAGATTATAAAAATGATAATCATGACAATGTATTACTGGTTTTGTAACATATATAGACTTAATATGTATACCACTAATAGTGTAAGCAGCTCCATAAAATAACTAAACGAGTGGAATCAGAATGTTCCTAACATAAAGAAATGTTAAGTACCTGAGTTAATGGATACCCCAATTACCCTGATGTGATTAATTCACATTGTATGCCTATATCAAAACATCACATGTACCCTATAAAGATGCACAACTATTATGTCCCCATAATAATTAAAAATAAAAATTAAATTAAAAATAAAAACATACCAGGAACTAGAAATTGAAAAGTATGTGCTTACATGACATATAAAATAACTCATAAACCATTACTGATTCAGCACCTGATATCTTGCTGGTTAGATATTGTTAAGATGTCTCTATATACCTAAAACTTTTTATCCTGGAAATACCAAATTTCTGTCTACCACAAATAAAATTATCAGGTAATATATTTTATTTTTTTCAGATTTTTCATAATATTTATCACAATCTGGAATTATTTGTTGACTCTCATTCTTTGTCCTCACTACAATTCAAACATCATGAAAAAAGGGACCTTATTTACTTTGTTCACCACCATATTTCTAACACCTGCAATAGTACCTGTCTTATTGCAGGTATTTAAAAAATATGTGTTGAATAAAGATTGTATTTATTTGAAGGTGTAATTTATGTAAACTGGTTCATCTATTAAACTATAATGCTTTATCATTGAAAAATAATTTATTCCTGAAAACTTTTTCCCCTAATTTTTCCTCTGAGAATATTTATAACCTTAATTACTCTTAATTTGTAATTCACTAAATCTGCAAATTCTTCACAGATTTAAGATTTTTTGCACCAACGGACACACACACACTCACTCTCCACGAATGTAATTTTGGTAAATGAATTACTGATATTGAAGCACAAAATTTCAGAAGTATATATTTTCAGAAACTTTTTTGTCTTCCCGCTTGTAAAAAGTTCTACCTAGATGTCACAACAATTATTCCATTTAAATTGTTAATTGTAAAGACCTATACATATATTTCTACATAGGCTTTAATCTGACATTAAGTGTTTCATTCTCCTTTCCTATCCATCTGTCTCCCTCCTTCTCTCTCTCTCTCTCTCTCTCTTATTCTCCTTCTGTCTCTCCCCAACATGGTAATGTTAATTTTTTATTGTTATGGATTATATTGCTCTTCTTGCTTATTATAACTCTCCTTTTGGCTGCTGTGCATAAGAACAGAGAAAGAAGATAGAATTGCAGATCAGTTAGTTTGCAGCTTATTAATGACCGCCCTTACTTACATGCATAGGTGGCAGAAAATTTGGGGGTTTGAGAATGATATATATGTATCGAAAGGAACTATTTTACCCTCATGCTCATAGATTCTCATGTTCATAGAAAGTAGTTGATTTGGATTAATTGTATATCTCATTGTCAATTCCAAGGAAGCCCTATTTGGGCAGTGCACATCAGTGAATAGTATACCACTGGCGTTCTTTCAGTTCAGAACCAAACTGCTATCTACCAACTGTCAGGAGAAAATGTGACAAAAATAGATAGGTTTTCTATTTCTCCACCTGGCTGGCTTACCTATTGGATCAGTAAGGAAATAAATAGCCCAGACTATTCAGAGGTAATTAGAGGATAGAAGAGATGAAATCTATGAAAAGTTATTGCCCATCTTAGCACACAGATGGGGGGAGTTTATGTATGTTTTGGCATTATTTCTCTCTGTTTTACCCTCTTGTTACATGCGAGAAAGGTTATTTATTCAACACTTTGTTCTTTCAATGTTCAGTAGTGTCTCTAAAATCTATTAAGGGTGATTATCTTCCTTGTCTGTGCACCACAGTGACTGGGGAGATTTTACAATGGTATGCCTGAGTCCCAATCAAGATAAATTATGTCTCTGGGGTAAGAAACTAGATAACATAATGATCTTTGAAAAGCTTCCCAGATGATTCTGCTAGGCAGCTGATATTGAGTCCTGCAGTTACGGTATGGAAATAATCTAAGATTACTTTTCCTATATAAAGAGAATAATTACCTCTCTGATGATATTAATATCTCAGGATATATGTGATCCATTTGAGTTTGGTCACTTGAATAAACTATGAGTTCGTTGCTATTATTCTGTTCTAACAGATTTTTTAGACTTTTTTTAAAACCTCAGACAAGGATAGGAAATTAGAAGGAAAAGATGACTTAATAGCTCTCATTTCAGAGTTGAAAGAAAAAGGAAGATCATATAAAATTTCCATGAGTCTATCTGAGAAAAGAGTCACAGAAAGAACTATAATTAAGCTAGCCCCATTTATTATTTCATTTATGGATCAGGCGAAACAACTTGGAAAAATATATTCACTTTCTTAAACCTTTTAACATTTATAAATTGTGTTGCTACTGTTACTACATGTAAAGATTAAATCAATCACTATATAAAGAGTAATAATCTACCCAAGGAAAATTAAGAAGATTATTAGGTACAAAGAAGAACTCAAGCAAGTTGGATAGCTTGAACAATAATGAATTTAACTGGTTGATTCTTTCATCCTTGCATGCAAGTAGGCATGTATAGATTCATTTATTCAATACAGATTTGTTAAGTGTCTCAGGTTACAGTGCTTGACGTGAGTGTTTAAGAAAAGAATAGACAATATGCTCAACTTTAATGTCATATTCAAGTTTTGAGCATAGTTATGTAAACAAATTGCCATAGACTGTGCTAGGTGCAATGACATAATTATGCCTAAAATATACAGTTAGTACAAAAGAGGAGGTATTAACTCTGAATTTGGGGAAGGAAAAGGAGAAAAGAAGCTTCTTTTAAGCGATAATGGTTATACTGAATTTTGAAAATGAATATGAATTTTAAGGCGTTCCAGTGAGTTTGGGAGGCAAGATTATTCTAGGAAGAGGAAACAGCATGTAAAAAGGTCAAAGCATGATATCTTTAGGTTATTGATTTATTCATTTATTTATTTTGCTATTGCAGAACTAAGAGTTACTAGAGTAGTGGGACATGCATTGTTAGATAGATCGTACATGACCCAACATTCCATCTTAAAGATAAAAATAAGGAATTAACTAAAATCTTATCTCTGGGTATGAGAAATGATCAGATCTATAAATTGGTAGCACTTTTGATATCTCTTGGGGGAAGGATAAAGGTAATGAAAAATAGTTAGGAAGCTGTTACAATAGTCTCACTGGAAGACAATGAGGCCTTGAATAATGAAAATTTCACATTTCTCTATTAAAGAGAAGTTTAAAAAGAATCACTCGAGATTTGGATGTAGAAGATGAAAGAGAGTAACCTAAGGTGAGTACATTTGTTCTTTCTTTCTTTCTACCCCCTTCTCTCTGTTTCTCTCCTCTCTTTTTCTCTTTCTTGCTATGTAATTGTGGTAAGAACACTTCACATGGGATCTTCACTCTTAAAAAGTCTACTATAATATATAGTATCATTAACTCCAGCCACGGTCTTGTATAGCAGATCTCTAGAACTTATTCATCTTATATAACTTAAAATTTGTACTCATTGAATAACAACTCTTCATTTCTCTGTCCTCACAGTTCTTGGCAACCACTATTATTATACTTTTCGCTTGAGTAAATACTTTAGATATCTCCTATAAGTGGAAGCATGCAGTATTTGATCTGCTGTGACTGCCTTATTTCACTTAGCATAATGTCCTCCAGGTTGATCTATATTGTTCGAATATATTGTCCTATATGGCAAAATTTCCCTCTTTTTTAAGTCTGAATAATATCCAATGATATGGATATACAACATTTTCTTTATTCATGTATCTATTGACATTTAAGTTATTTCTATATTGGCTATTGTGAATAATGCAATAAATATGGTAGTGCAACTATATCTTTAAGATTTTGAATTCAATACTTTAGCATATGTACACAGAAGGGTGATTACTGGATCATTAAAAGTAATCTTTTGATGGAACCTCCATATTGTTTTCCATAGTTGCTGAACCATTTTACATTTCCACCACCTTGAACAACACTTATCTTAATTTTTTTAATAGCCCTCCCAACATTCCAGTGAGATAACTTATTGCGATTTTGATTTACATTTCCCAGATAATTAGTGATGTTGTACACCTTTTTATATAATCATTGGCTATTTGTATGTCTTCTTTGGAAAAATATCTATTCATGTCTTTTATCTATTTTTTAATTGAATTATTTATTCATTTATTTTTGGTTTGGGTTTTATTTGTGGGGGTTGCTATTGAATTGTAAGAGTTTCTTATAAATATTTGATATTAACTCTTTATCACATACATAGTTTTCAAACAAATTCTTCATAGCATAGATTCCCTTTTTACTCTTTTGATTGTTTTCTTTGCTGTGCAGAAGCTTTCTGGTTTGATGCTATCCCACTTGTCTATTTTTGCTTTTGGTGCCTGTGCTTTTGTTCTCATATCTAAGAAATCATTGCCAAGACCAATGTAAAGAAGCTTTTTTCTTATGTTTTCTTCTAAAAGTTTTATAATTTCAGGTCTTACATTTAAGTCTTTTATCCATCTTGAGTTGATTTTTATGTATGGTACAAGAAAAGTATCCAGTTTTATTCTTTTGCATATTAATACCCAGTTTTCCAACATCATATCATTTATTGAGACTGTCCTTTCTTCATTGTATATTCTGGGTTTTTTTGTTTGTTTGTTTTTTTGAGACAGAGTTTCACTCTGTTGCCCAGGCTGGAATGCAGTGTCATCATAATAGCTCACTGCAACCTTAACACTCCTGAGCTCAAGGTATCCTCCCAAGTGGAGGGCCTACCCAAAGGTCTCAACCTCCCAAGTGGGTGGGCCTATAGGTGCGTACCACGATAGCCAGCTAATTTTTCTATTTTTTTGTAGAGATGGTGTCTCTGTCTTGCTCAGGCTGATCTCCAAGTCCTAGCCTCAACAATTCTCCTGCCTTGGCCTCCCAAAGTACTAGGATTACAGGTGTAAACCACCTTGTCCAGACTCTCATTGTGTGTTCTAGACAACATTAAAGATTACTTAAAGATTAGTTAAAGAATTGGTTGACTGCAAATGTTGGGGTTTAATAGAAATGCAACTGATTTTTTTATATGTTGATTTATATCCTGCAACTTTATGGAATTTTTTTTTTAGTTCTAAAAGTATTTTTTTTGTGGTCTATAGGATTTTATACATAAAAGATCATGCCATTTGCATGCAGAGATACTTTTACCTGCTTCTTTCCTATTTGGATTTTTAAAATGTCCTTTTCTTGCCTAATCACTCTGGCTAGGGTTTCCAACAGTATGTGGAATGGATGTGGTGAGATTAGGCATCTTTGTGTTGTTCCTGATCTTAGGAGAAAAAGCTTTCAGTTTTTCACCATTTGAATATGGGGTTAGCTAGCTGTTAGCTTTACATATATGACCTTTATTACACTGAGGTAAATTTCGTCTATACCTAGTTCATTGGGAGTTTCTATTAACATAATAAAGGGTGTTGAACTTTTATTAAGTGCTTTCTAGGCATCTATTGAGGATGATGTGATTTTTATTCTTCATTCTGTCAATGTGGTGTATCACATTAATTGATTTGCATATGTTGAGCCATCCTTGTATCCTGGGGATAAATCCCATTTTATCATAGTATATGATCTTTCTCATGTGCTGTTGAATTTAGTTTGCTGGCATTTTGGTGAGGATATTTGTATCTATGTTCATCAGGGATATTGGCCTATAATCTTCTTTTTCTTGTAGTGTCTGCATCTGGCTTTAGTAGCAGGGTTATGCTGATCTTAAAAATAAATTTGGAAGCATTCTTTCCTCTTCAGTTTTTGGGAAGAGTTTCGGAAGGATTGGTATTAATGCTTCTTATAAGTGTTTGGTAGAATTCACCAACAAAGATATGTCATCCTGGGGATTTTCTTTGTTGTGGGGTTTTTGATTACTGACTCAAACTCCTTATTTGTTATTGGTCTGCTCGGATTTTCTATTTCTTTCTGATTCAGTCCTGATAGGTTGTATGTTTCTAGGAATTTATTAATTTCTTCTAAGGTATCTAGTTAGTTGGCATATGGTTGTTCATAGTAGATTTTATAATCCTTTTTATTTTTGTGGCATCAGTTATGACGGTCTCTCTTCCATTTCTGGTTTTACTTATTTGAATCTTCTTTCTCTTTTTTTACTTAGTCTAGCTAGGAATTTGTCAACTTTGTTCATCTTTTTAAAAAACAACTCTTGGTTTTGCTGATTTTTTTCTATTGTTTTTCTATTCTTTATTTGTGAATCCTTGGTATCTGATTTTCGATCCTTGGATACATGATATTGACATGAACCCAAATGCAATAAGATAGGAAAAGAAAAAAAAGCTTTTATTGTAGGTGATAAGATGGGGAACATAATATTCCATGTGTTGAGTGTGGGGTGCCCCTAGAACATCATGGAGAAAGTCTCTTATTAAGTATAGTTTGAGACTCAAGAGACATTCTGGTTCAGAGATACAAGTTTTAGTGTTTTTACCTTGTAGTTATTAAGTCCACCAAGGTTGTTATTGAGGACATTTCATCAATTCTACTCATAGGATTCTTTCTGAAAGTTTTCTAGACAATCATTAGGAATGCTTATCCTATCTGCACAATGGGAGAAAGATGTTAAATAAGGCACTTAGCAGGATGACTTTTATCAGGAGGTTATTAGTATGATATTACAAAGCACATATTAAATCTTGTAACCTTATAGACCTATTCCAAGTGTCTTTGGTGTTGTGTGTCTTAAAGATCCATTTTAAGACCACACCTTATTTATGTAGAGAAAAAGATCTTTAATCCCAATTTATAGATTTTTTTACTTTTTCTTTCTTTTACTCTTTAAGTAATATAAATTTTCTAGGAATATCATTTCCTAAATTTAATTTACAAGATCCAGTTGGGTTTGTTCTTCAACAGCAATTGGAGAATAGAAGTGTCTTTTCTGCTCCTATTTTCACATAGGCTTCTGTGTAAACCGGACACTCAGAGCAGTAGGCAGTTGTTTCAACAGAGTAAAAGTTGTTCTTGATCATTATAAACCCTTGTCCTCCTGTTCCACGTGTTTTCTTAGATATGAGCTTAGAACTTTGACAGTGTTTTTCTCCTCTTTGAAGATACTTAGGCTGCCAGAGAATTCTGGCAAAACAAACAACTGAGAGATTTCTGGCTGTTGTACATAATTCTAATCTCTTTACTTGCCATAATGGGATCTGGATTATATTTCTCTCTTTAAGAGATTTAAAAACCACAACCATTTTTGATAATTATCCAGAAATACTGATACTCAAATTTCTTATATCTGTATTGCCATCTCTGTCTTCTACTTCATCAGACCAGTGGAAATAGAGTCTGCAATCCTATTTGGCATGAGCCTACTATGTTGGTGCCAAGAGTAGCTCATTTCTCAACCCCTTCACTAAATTCCCACTTTTCCTAGATTCCGTTTACCTGGTTTTTGTAATAGTACATGCAGTTTTTCTTTTGCTGACAATCCGCCTGCCTGTGACCCTCATTCGTATCCTGGTAACATATTGGGTTTGCCTATTTTGTGATGCTATCTCAGAAACGTGCCCTTTATCTGACTATAAAACAGCACTTACACCTGTTCTCTGGAAACAATTGAGGCTCTCTCAGGATTTCTCCTGTAGTACTAGGTATCATCTGTACCAGTCATTAATACTATATGACATTTTGTAGAGTTATAAAATGTGATCTGCAGACCAGCAACATTGGCATTACCTGGGAGGTTTTAAAACAATACAGAACCTCAGAACCCAAAGACCACTGAATCAGACTCTATATTTTAATAAGACCTTTAGATTATTTACATGCATATAAAATTTGAGAAGGATTGCTATGGTAAGCACAGCTTTGGTAGCACCTTTTATTACTTTTCTGCTCTGTTTTCTCTTCTCTTATTATGCTAAGAAAGTTCTTTATTCTCTTACTCACATTTTAGTAATTGCAATATGTTGAGGGAGTTGGGATGGGGTCTGTGGTTGAGTAGTCAGATCTTAAATGACTTTATTCAAACTAAGAGGCTTAATCTGTATTTCCACGCATCTTATTTTTTTTTATTCATTGCTCTATAATATGGTCTTTAGCTTTGAATCATCAGTCAACATCTCTTTTCCAACATTCTGCAAAGTGATTGGGAAACTTAACTGCACAGTCTTCTGCTGCTCAATTTTTTGGAGCATTTGATGAATGTTATGAAGAAATACTCAACTTGAGATTATGAAAGTTCTCAAATATTAGGCATGAATATTAGGCTTTCTCTTAATATCCATTGTTTGCTGT